CGCGGACAGACCGGACCCACACGCGGGACAGACCCGACACGCGGACAGACGACACGCGGACAGACCGACACGCGGACAGACGGACAGCGGCACAGACGCGACACGCGGACAGACCGACACGCGGACAGACCGACACGACACGGACCGACACGCGGACAGACCGACACGCCCCGGACAACGACCGCGGAACGACCGACACGCGGACAGACCGACACGCGGACAGACCGACAGCGGAGCAGACCGACACGCGGACAAACCGACACGGCGACAACGACACGCGACAACGACACGCGGACAGACGACACCGGCGGACAGACCGACACGCGGACAGACCGACACGCGGACAGACCGACACGCGGACAGACTGACAGGCGGACAGACTGACGAACAAACAGTCGTTGGGATGAGAGGAGGCAGTAAAGCCATGAAACTAGAATGGTGAACCGATAGTGAAGTCGGAGGGACGGATGGATATCCAAATCAATTGGACGGACTTCCAATTCAGGCAAACTCTCTGACGGAGGGTCTAACCACCTTGATAGACGATGAAATAGTAAAGATACACGGACAGATATTCAAGACGGACTAACAGCCAAGGCAGATGCATAGACGTGATCCAAGAGAGATGGAGAGATGGACAATCGACCATGACAAATAGCCGGTAACGACAGATGGACGGGTGAAACTAATGGATACTCGACCAAGACAGAGCGATGTCATATACATCTGTTTCATTGAGAATTTCAGGGCAAAATTTCCATTTTGCATTAAAATACTTTGTTTTTTGAGATGACAGACTGATAAATATGACACGTTTTTTAATTAAGTTTTGAAACTGCATTTAAGATACATCTCTGTGTCCAATGTTAAATTCCGTTGAGTCCATATTTTTTCTTACATTTTCTTGGCAGTCAGTTTTACGGATGATGTCAAGTGAGTTGTAATCACGGGAAACATAACAAAAACTGCAAGATAATAAGAAAACTGGAGCATATTTTGAATACCGTATTCAGTTTCGAATTCCTTATGTAATAAAATAAGAATAGATAGCCACTGGTAAAATGGGTTATTCCAGCATTTCGAGCTGAGAGTTTAATTTTTGGCACTAGTGTTCAAAGTGAGGCTATTCTAAAGTACTGAGATAAATTTGTGAATGCCACATTGAACGTCACATTAACTAATACTGGCCTTATTGCATCAAAGGAATTCAAGTGATTTGTGTGCTTGAATTAAAATAAAATGAAAGACAGTAAGGCTGTCCAAAAATTCTGTATGACACACGAGGTGAATAAAAAATTATTTTGTTTGTAGCATTGCACCATTCGGCCTATTGCTTCTGGTAGCAACGTTTCCTACTCCCAAAGTAAAACGTCACTTCTACCACTCGTGTAATAAATACCTTTTTTCTACTCCCATTGTATAATTCTGTCATATGGTGGTTGCAATCCGTTGCATAATGATACTCAATACGATACAGATTTGATTATGATACAGGTTCATGACCAATCACAGAAGCTTACAAACCAAATATTGACAATTAATCATTGAGAATCGTTGCAGTAAATGTTTCCGTCGATTGTGAACAGTAAATTGCATTTAATATTATATTATGGTCCTCAGTTTTAATTTACTTTATTATTAATATTCTTTTACGTGAAGTATTATTTAAAATAAATTGGAATGAGATTTCAGTTTGAACCTATTTGACTAGAGCAGTGGTAGTTATTGAAGAGAACATTTGACTCACGTTCTGTGATTGTACGCAAGTTATTTTGTTTAATATGTTGCTGCGGGGTGGTTGTCCTTAAAAACCGGCCAATTTTTTAGTTTAAAATGTCTAGTGAATCAAAGGGTGGAGTTGATACCTTCACAAATAAGAGAAAAATCGAAAATGGTGACGCCGTTGTTATTGCCGTAACTTTTGTACACCCTCGCAGGCGGTCTGGTGAAACATGGCCACCTGCGGCAGGGTAGGGAGGGTCTTGTCCGCTGGGTGGTCTTGGCTGAATCGTGCATGTCAGCTGCCACGAAACGATTGAATGTAAAAGGTATTGATGTAACATTTGATGAAACGATTGAATGTAACTTATGAAAGTTACCATAAGTCGTAAAAAAGTACCGTATGAAACTCGATGTACCTCGGGTATTAATATACTCGTGTGAAATTCACAATATTCTTGTATTAATACACATCATTACTTCATCGTTTCTTAATGTACTATTCTATTGACAATTATAATATCACATTGTCTTCTCCCCCTTTGTAAAATGAGTTACTGACCTTTTTATCTATTACAATACAATTATTGTACAGTTCACTTTATGCAACATCTGAACTCTTCCTTAAGCCATCTCCTGATAGGTTTAAGACGTCTAGTGAATATACTTTTTAACAAATAAATTATTTTACAGTTCCTTTATGCGCAACATCTGCACCTCTTGCCCTTAAGCCATCTCCTGATAGGTTCTAAGACGTCTGGTGAATATACTTTTTAACACATACAATTATTTTACAGTTCACTTTATGCAACATCTGTAGCCTCTTGCCTTAAGCATTCCTGATAGGTTCTAAGACGTCTAGTGAATATACTTTTTCACACTACAATTATTTACAGTTCACTTTATGCAACATCTGCACTCTTTGCCCTTAAGCATCTCCCTGATAGGTTCTAAGACGTCTAGTGAATATACTTTTTAACACATACAATTATTTTACAGTTCACTTTATGCAACATCTGCACCTCTTGCTTAAGCATCTCCTGATAGGTTCTAAACGTCTAGTGAAATATACTTTTTTAAACATACAATTATTTTACATTTCCTTTTATCAACATACTGCACCTCTTGCCTTAAGGCCATTCCTGATAGGTTCTAATACGTCTAGTGAAGATACTTTTTAACACGGCACAGAACTGAAACACACTGGCGCGTTGATACCTAAATACTGGTCAGTGATCTCCGCTTAGCTAATAGAGAGAAACAGTGAAGAAGCTTCTGCGTGAGAAACACCGAGCAGTCGCGCCACCTGTGTAAACTAATTGTGCACTGACGAGCGTCTCGTTTGAGCGCTAACTAAATAACGCAGCGCGTGTATTGGCGTGTGGTATGTGAGCTCTGCAAGCGACCCGACATCTGTCAACTGACTGGTAGAGCGATTCTACGAAGGGAATGGAGATGGTCGTACCCTTAATTCGAATTCAAAATGGTTGGATCACTAGAGTTCCACGAATCTAGTGTTTTATGAATCCTTGAACTAATATTTACATAAGACATTTTCACCACAAGACATGCTTTATGGAACCATTCGTCGATGGTTCTGGCCTTGAAGTAGGTTCGCGTCTTATAATAGTAGATCTGTCGATCACTATTTCAGTCACGAATTTGGTTACGCCACTTACGCAGTGCTGGTGAACGTGACCCGCAAGGTAGGTTTGGCGCTAAAAGTTGTTTAGTTGCTAACATATTAGGTTCGGTAATGTATTATTATGGTTTCTTTTTAGAATTTAGTTAGGAGTCATCCTATAGAACAGGGGTGTCCAACTTCCAAGGCTTAAAGGGCCACACAAATAAAACCTTTAATGGCTGCGCGCCATATTTTCATTACTCGGGCAATCCATTCGTGAGCCGGTATTGTTGATATGAACAGTTTGCCCAGCTGCTGTGAATCGAAGGGGAGATGAAAGTATGAGTGATATCCGATTCTACAAAGCATAATAGAGTTAAACATATTGGGATGATTTTGAATTTATGAATTTACAAGAAACAATCCTTATATCTAAACACACATGATTATGCCTTTCAAGGGTTTTTAGTTCTATCCTAAAGTAACTAAAATCGCCCTACAAAACAATATAAACAAAAAAACCCTGTAAAATAAAACAAACAAAAGCTCATCGGAAGCTAGTTGAGGCTACGCAATTTAACCTACAATTCCTTCTAGAAGTGCTACCCTATATTTCTATAGTCCAAATATTTCCTTATCCACTTTGATTATCCAAGGTTTAAACTGAAAGGAACTGAGCGTGATTTCGGAATCAAAATCACAACACAAATGAAAAATTATTTGCACAATCTATGGCCATGTCCCTGCCAGATTCAGTTTCTTCTTAAGCAATGAGTAAAAAACTAATTATTAGAAACCAAGTTTTGTAATACAAGTAAATCCATGGCCTCCTACACTCCTATCAACACCAATCTGTCTTCTTTTGCAGGATGAAAAAGTCAAATTTAAATGAAAATCATAAAACACTAGAGGTTTTAAAACGGAAATAAAAAGTTATATGATAATGGTATCGTACATATCTGTTTAATTATTAACTATTACCAGTTTCAAATATGTGACATTATTTCGTTCTTCATTTCATTTCTGAAGGAAGACTTCTTTTAAAATATACAGCTATGGCCGGGATGGAATTCCTGAACTCCGTTAAAACAGACCTACAAGCTTACCTTTTCAAGTCGCATATTGAAATCTAACTCTCATATAATAGTTTATGCAATTAGTTTATAATGTTGAGCTTTATTGCATGTGATCATGTTTTGAAAACGAGCAACGTTAGGGGCAATTTTCAAATTTGTACGAATGCAATAAGACATTAAAAAACGAGTGGCACACGCATTTTTTGTATAACAGCATTGTACATTTATAAGAGAATCAAACTTAATTTTGCGAAACAATATTTTTGTGATATCTCAATTATTTGACATCTGTCCGAGAAAACAGTGACTGGCTGTTCCGTTTGCCGCTACCTCCCCACGATTCTCTAGCTGCGATTGGCTGAACGTGTGATGACACAATCATTTGTGCCGTAAAGAGTCCTTTTATGAATCATTTCTTGCAGTAGAAAATATCGCTATTAATGTTGGTATACAAAAAATGCTTTTAGAAGATATAAATCATTAGTTTGATATTGACAAGGAATTTACAAGGACCTTTAAAAAGAAAATTAGTTTCCTTGTTATGCAGTCTCCTCTGCATGCAAAGTAAGAAAATCACTCACCAATAAGGTTGCTGACGTCTGACGCGTTGAGTTTTCGTGAGTTGTTCTCAACTTTGAAGGCGACTTCGTTGTTGTCAATCCTGAAGCAAAGAAACAAATACCCGTGGGTGAAATAATGTATTGTATCATAAAGTACAAACATTTGGAGACAAAATTAAAATTATAAGTGATTTTCATTATATTTAACGCCTGAGGAGAAAAACAACTCTTGACCTTAATATTTAATTGAAAATAATAATTAGCGCATGTAGTCCGCAAGTGAATTATAAATACCAGCCATTTATAATAGCATGTAATGTTTTGTGAAATATATATTGAAGGTTTTTGTTATACCCAAATTAGTCGTTTAAAATCAAGGTAATATCAAAACCTAACAGCCGAAAATAAACACAAAAAGCCGTTTGAGAATGTATATCAGAGGATTATTATTTTGACGTGAATTATGAGAATGTAAATCCGTTAATATTTCACGCCAGCAGTACACACGTACAATCACATGACAGATCCAATATATTCATGAGCTTTTCATATCAGCGAGTGAAGGGCGAAAGTTAATAGTTTGAAAGGAATTTCATATTTATTCATATTAAAAACACTCCTCTAAGTGAATGCTTTTTAACAATTTTCTGAACGTACAAGCAATATTTTAAGAATATTGTGTAAAAGTATATTAAAATAAATCAGTAGCGCAATATACAAATGCGAGACACCGGATAATACGTTAAAAGCAGCCAATTTCTTTAATACTCTTATGTTAACTTCAACGTGTAGTCCTTCCTCAACGGATGTCTGAGAGTATTATCACAAAAACCTATAAAATTATTATTCTTTAGGCTATTATGAATCATCATATATTTCTACATCTCGGAATACATCTTTTTTCCCTTTCTTTTTCTCAATTATTTTTTTATTTCCGACCGGGACTCTATTTACTTTCCCGAATACGTATGTACATACGGAGTAATATATGTAATATAGGGAAAATTATGTAATGCTTCGGAAAATGGATTTCAAAATTTCAAGGGAAATACACGTTTTGAGGTCCCCTGATACCGAAAAAGTGTTTTTTTCAAAACGTCAGTCCGTCCGTCTGGTGTCTGTGAACACTACTAGCGCCTAAACCGTGAGTAGGAATGTTTCCAAATTAAAGAAACCCCTGTCCATCTGGATCGAGTCGAAACTTTCAGTTTTTGAAAATTATTCATTCGTTTTTGCGGGTACTTTACATGAAACGCTCCGGACACTTTCAAAATTTCCTCAAAAATGGCTCCAAATTTTTCTTTAAATTTTTTCTAAGAATAGAGAGACATACACTTATAAAAATGGCATGGGTCTGATTTTGACGGTTAACTCAGAATTTTCGAAAAATTTAAAAGTTTGAATTTTTTCGGCATCTTTCTACAACTACAGTTCTTTCATTAAGGTCATGCACATTTTTTTGAAATTTTAGTAGCTTTCGCGCAATATGTGCAACTTTAAAAAAATACATAAATAATATTTTTTCAAAAACGGCTCCACAATTTTTCATTAAACGTTTGGCATACATAGTGTTAAACGTGCTCTATAAGATGACTAAAACGCCAAATGCTCTATTCTTTTGTGTTTTCAAAAATTACAAAAATGTAGTTTTTGACTTGCCTCTCATGTTAATATTTATACTAGCGGCAATTTGTTCACATTATTGTATTTATGAATACATGTGATTTAAATAATGTCATATAAAATTTCTCGAAAACTCAATAGTTTTCCGTGAAAATGAGCTCAAAATTTCGGAATTTTCAGAAACGCTCAAACGCCTTTTTTTCAAAAATAGCTCAAACTTTTTCTTCGACATTTCTAACAGATAGTGCAAATTCCTCTCTTTAATATTACGAAAGATTCATTTCAGTGTAATTTTTAAATATATTAATGTGTTCTAAAAAGGAAAAAAAGAAAGTCAAGAAAAGAAAGAAAAAAGAAGTAAGAAAAGAAAGAAAAAAACAAGAAAAGAAAGAAAAGAAAGAAAAAAGAAATAAGAAAAGAAATAAAAAATAAATAAAAAATAAATAAAAAATAAATACTAAAAAGAAAAAAGAAATAAAAAAGAAATGAGAAAAGAAGGAAAAAAAGTAAGAAAAGAAAGAAGTAAGAAAAGAATGAAGTAAGAAAAGAAAGAAAACAGGAATAAAAAAGAATAAGAAGAAAACAATTGAGTGTGAAAGTGAACAAAAAGAGTGAAGACAAAGAAAAACAAGCGGCGGACTCACCTGGCGTGCGTGAACGCGCCGGGCTCCACGCCCAGCAGCCGCGCGACTTCGGCGACGATGCGCGTGCCGTCCTGCCAGTTGTGGATGCTGCTGCAACACGCCAGCACAGGCCTATCACGCGTGACGCCCGGCTCGCTCGCGGCGCCAAGGCGGGGCGCTGGCGGCGCGGGCGGGTGGGTGCGGGAACGACTGCCTTTGCTCGCTCGCGGGGCTACAGGGAGAGGGTCCAGCCGACGAGATGCTCTCTTACGAACAACTTCTTTTATTTACGCTCAAGATAAAGTGTATTTGTATTGTATGCGATCGTAGGCTTCCGCGGCCGGAGTCAATACATTCTTGGCTATCCGAGATGAGCCCTTCTTGGTCAATTGTGCTGACATTTCGGCCATCTCGCTGTGGACTTCTTCAGAGCTACACTACTAATCAGAAGCAGTGTAGCCCTGAAGAACGCCACAGCAAGGAGGCCGATACGTCAGCACAATTGACTGAGGCGCGGCTCATCCCAGATAGCCAAGCATTTAGTATATGTATTTGTATTGATTTACTGTTAATATTTATAACGTTAACAATTGACATATTAAATGACTTTCGTTAGTATAGAAACTTTCGACAAGCTTGATGTTTGAATAAGTGACATCGGCTTTTCAGAGGGGGGAAAGGCTAAAGACTCTCGAACCCCATAACCCCCATGGCTGCGCCACTACTCTTTACGCGTGTTCAGCTAAGAAGATTGTGAATATACCACACACTTCTTAGAGTGTGACTATTGGCTGTACGGTTTTTACCTTTTAAGATATATGTATGTATTTGGAATTTTGGGACTATTATTCGACTTTCCGGGTAACGAACGATGTTCGCCATGCCTAATTCCCATGTTTGAGGTATAAGAGAGACGACGTATTGCCTTTACAGTAATTACAGCAAACTCTGTCTGCCTGACTTTTTCTTCGTCGCACAGCTACATAAGCCGAGATGATATTAAAGGAAAGCTACAACAATTTTTGGCCCGTTCAGGTATCGAACCCGGAACTGCATTCCAGGAAGCTAGTTTGCTGCCTATGAGCTATCCTACAAGACACTATCACGAATATCACTAAATAAAGCAACAAAAAATAGTTACATAAGTTATGATCAAATTTCGTGAAGCCTTTCACACTTAGTCTGCATTACGAACCTTTTACAGCCCGGTCAATGCCTTCATCCAACGAGAGTTTCCAAAACCTTCAGGTTTCGAGAAAATGTGAAGGGCAGACGACGGCATGCGTTTACTGATTGCCGAGTGCAGTAAAGTGGTGAATCCCAAGTTGTGCTGTTCCGGTGTCACGTGATGCGTAGGGAGTAGTCGAGCCGACCAATTCTTTTCCCATTCGAATCGAGACTTTTGCTGCTGTTAAGACCTTGCTGGCGACACGCTGCCCAAACAGCACCTGCCTGGTGTCTGCGCTAAGTCTCTTTCTTCATTGCCACGTTACCACTGCTCACTGTCATGGTTCACCGCGAATTGAGTTGCGTGAGGAGCGTCAAGGTCACATATCAGCACTTGTCGCACGACAGACATCTGTTTAGAAGTTGTGAACATGGAGGTATTTATTTTTATACAACCTTCCATCTGCAATTAATACAACTTGGCTGATATGTTTAACGTTTGAAAATATTCCTATTGAAAAGCTGCAAAGGTAGCAATCACTAAGAAATTTGTCTTTGAAAATGTCAGCTCGTACGTATTAGAAATGTGTATTATTTTAAGATTTTATAACACTTTAATGAAATGTGGAGCCCTTTGTAAGGATAACATCTTTGTATTTGTAGTGCATGTTCCCAAGATGTCAATGATGATGCCAACACCAATACTGTATCAAATTTTGTCGATGTTCCCTCGGCTTAATTATTTCCTTACAGTTAGTCCCTAAAGAGGTTTAGTGGTTTTCTTATTAACAGGTAACGTCCCAAATATTTCTCTTCCTTTGGATATGTTTTTTAATGGGTCCCAGCAGCTTTCAACCGTAATGCATTCCGGTGTCTAGTGTAGCATAGTTTTCTTTAAAACTGAGTTATGTAATCTAACATTTTTTACGTCTGTATTATTAATTTCGATTCAGCAATATGCCGATGTTTTAATTACACATAAAATTAATCGTTTTAGTAAGATTCAACAGATCTATTAAAATGAACGATACCTTAGCCGTAGATTTAGAATGTAATGTCGTTGTTATAGGATTTTCCGTGTGAACGTTTCTGACACATCCACTGATAAAACAAGAGAGAATAAGCAAATCGATTTTAAAGCAGACTTCAAATCAGAATATGAAATTAAACTAGTTTAAAAATTAGTACATTTCATATATTTCGCTTCATAGAAAAGAACAAGTCGTGTGCATTAAACCTCCCTTTTTGAAAGTCTCTCGAATTATCGTAATGACAACTCCATAAAAGAGTAGAAAGTTGTAACATGGCTTCCTGGTCGAGACGAGGGCCAAACACACCAGCTTCCACAAAGGCAGTCGCTAGGATGATTTAGATAAAGGGTTGTGGCCAGGGAACAACCTCGCTGCGTTTTACGCTCACTTGACCGAGATCGAATCGACACACGATTCTTGGGGAAATGATGACTGATAATTTACATCAAGAAAAAGTTATAGACGATTCACAAAAAAATCTGTTTTGTTTTCTTAGCTCTGACACGAGACGAGATATGAGATATGTTGCATTTCTTCAAGACGATTTTAATTGCTTTCGTCAAAATGGATTTTTTATCTTTTCAGATTGGTGTGATATAACGTCTTACTTTACTTCCAATATTCCAAGACCGAAAATTATTGAATAAATAATTTCAATAATTTGTGAGCTTTCAAACGACCTACCAATGTGCAGAGTGATGTGATATTAATTTAATCAAAATCGCTTTCAGCCTTGCAAACTGGGTATGTTTCAGGAGCATTTTTTTAGAAAAATAAAAATGATGTTATTTTGCTTCGAAATTGATGAAAAATGTGTATTAACCGAAGCGATAAATTGGGCTTATTCAAATAAAGGAAGTTTCTCACAATTCAATCCACCCGCAATCACTCTCGAAAGAGAAATTCCAGCTCTATGCAACCACTCTCACCACAATTCCACTTCACATCATTCTGAAGAATATCTTACAGCATGCTATTTTAGTTCCCTCAGCATGCTCCCACATCTTTCGGATCACTAGAAAAGCAACTCTGGCATTGATTCATAGTGACATGATGCATCACATGCACGCAAAAAGCTACGAGAGAATGAGGAAGCAATATGCGGCATGATTAAGATGGAAGTGCGAATGTGATGTCTACTCCAGCGTTACAGGCTCGAGAAAGATAGAAACTACACTACTTTTAACTCATATCTCACACAAATAAATAATTAGCTGTTTTAGATTTGCAATCTCCAGAAAAGCTCTTCGCCTAATTAGTGTCTTACAGTTACATTTCACAAATGGAAAACTTTATTGTTAAATATTTAATTTACTAGAAAGCAACTAACGTGCAAATTTCTCTGCTTCATATGTTCTTCAAATAGCAACACTTTAATTTAAGCAGGAACCCAGAAGAAAGCCGAAAGCAGTCTGAAATTTGAAGCAGTCTGAATGTTATTTTTTTGAAAAGTTAAACCATCACTTATAGTTAAGTTTATAGTTATTTTTTCCACACATTCATTATCCATCAAAAATGTGAAGACGATTGTTCGTAAAATATGCACATTTCTTGTACTTTCATTTAAGGGATTATAGTGTTCAATTGAGCTTAAATAAAAGTAACAGAGAAAATATCTTTATAAATACAACGGTCAAACTTTAAAAAATTCTGAAAATTCAATTAAATTCCATATTAATTTCTTCCTAAAGTTAGAAAAGTACCAAAAAAGGCGAGGTAGATAATGTTCGATAACGCACAATGTACTCTCTCCGAAGTGATAGTAGTGAAACCCAGACTCAAGAGTTAATAATTTTTGGGCGGTTTGGTATCACTATGCACGACGCACTTTTACAAACAACGCCACAATATCGAATTACGTCAGTAAATGTATTAATTGAATGAAAATATTACAAATACACTTTTCGCACCTACGTGAGCGACCGAGGTTGTCAGATCAGATGAGCGAGCAAAAGGCAAAGAGGAAAGTCAGAAGAGAGAGAGCGAGGAAAACCAAGAGAGATAGAGAGAGAGCGAGTGCGAAAGAGATAGTGAGAGCAAGCGAAACAGGGGAAGCGCGTCGCTTCAACACTTACCGATCCTTGAACTTGATGTAGACGTAGCTGGTGTCGACGTTGTCGTAGGGCCCGGGGGCGGGCCCCAGGTCGAGGTCGCCCTCGAGGTCGTTGGTGGCGGCGGCGACGGCGTCCGCCTGGGCGGCGGCGGCGGCCGCCTCCTCGTCCTCGTCCTCGGGCAGGTCGTTGTCGTGCGGGCCCGCCGGGTCGGGCGGCGGCACGGGCTCCGGGTTGGGCTCGCGCACCAGCGAAGCCGACTCGGGGACCAGCGCGGCGGACACCTCCTTCTTCTGGGGCAGCGCCCGCGGCTCCTGGGGCAGCGACAGGCGGCGGTGAAGGAAGGTAAGGGTAGTGCATATTGCATCTTCCTCCTCTGGAAGGCGAGATCCGGCGCTACCACAAAACTACTGACGAGAGCAGTCGGCTGCTCTAATTCCCGACGGGTAGTCATTGGTTGCACGAGCACTATCTTTGAGAGTCTATGACTCTCCCTGTCAACTGATGCTGTAGAATAGTTTGCTCCTTATATTTTATATTGCCTAGCGTCTCCGGTTCTGGCGTCAATAGTTACGTCGGCTGAATTTGCTTAGCTGTGTAGCTAGCTTCGAAATCCTGCCACCGTCGGGCCTCGAACCCAAGAACCTCCCGGCCAGAGGAGCTGCAGGGACATCAATTTATTCCCTGAGCCACCTCAGCCACTGAGGTAGCAGTTGAAGACATGGGCAGGGTCTATGGGGCCCGATGATTCTTCCTATGAATTGAGGAGCCCATATGTGACTACAGAGAACGACGACTCCGGTGTGAATTGTTACTTCTTCTGGGGCAAAGTACGGAGATTCTAAATAACTACTGTTTGGCTGTTGGCCACAATGACAGGATCTTGGGGGAACTGCGACCCTCCCTAAGAACTAATGTATGTCGGAGGAGCTCACAGGTCTATCGGGAATCCCGACACGGGCGTCAATAGCTGCTTCTGAGAGAGCGCATGGTGTTGCTAAAACGAACGCTTGGCGTTTGGTAACGTGAACGGACTGAGGAGTCTGTATATTAAGTGTTCACCTGGGATTTCGACTCGGGCATCCACGTTACTTCTTTTGAGCAGGGAATGGAGATTCTAAAGAATCGATGGTTGGCGGTTGATTACATGGGATGGTCAAACGCTGCCACAATGGGATACGCATGTCCTCAAATTCTGCGTGTGAAATTATAGGTCCGAGGAGCCTTTAAAATGTTTTTTGTGCAGCTACTCGCTGCACGCTGAGTCGATTGTCGACATCATTTGCCGGAGTAGCACTCGGGGTTCCCATGGAAATCTGTAAGAAGAATTATATCTTTGGAGGCATGATTTAACCAGTGGCGCCGATTCGAATTCCGCTTGCATGACCTTGGGGTAGCGATTGGACCGGCGATGGGTAGTGGTTGGTTTCATGAGCCGTATCTTTGTGAGTCTCTGACTCTCTCTGCCAACTGATGCTGTAGAATACTTTGCTCCGTAGTTTTTGTATTCCTTAGGGTCTCCGGCTCTGGCGTCAATAGTTACTTCATTTGGAGCAAACGCACGGGGATCCTAAAGAGACAATTGTTGGCGGTGAATTACGTGGGAGAGGCATAGATTGCAGCAATGGGGTCTTTCCGAATATCCCTATGTTCTGGTAGATCCAAGGAGCTCATACACTATGTAATCAAAAGTACTCGGGCACGTGGCTGAAAATGACTTACCGATTCGTGACGCTCTTCTTCCGTAATGCTGGAATTCAATAGGGCGTTGGCCTACCCTTAGCTTTGATGACAGCTTCCACTCTCGCAGGCATACTTTCAATCAGGTGCTGGAAGGTTTCTTGAGGAACGGCAGCCCATTCTTCACTGAGTACTGCACTGAGGAGAGGTATCGATGTAGGTCGGCGTAGCCTGGTACGAAGTCGGCGTTCCAAAACATCCCATAGTATTCAATTCAGGACTGTACAGGCCAGTCCGTTACAGGGATATTATTGTCGTGTAACCACTCCGCCACAGGATGTGCGGTACGAACAGGTACTCGATCGTGTTAAAAGATGCAATCGCCATCCCCGAATTTCTCGTCAACAGCGGAAAGCAATATGGTGTTTAAAACATCAACGTAGGCCTGTGCCATGATAGTGCCACACAAAACAACAAGAGGAGCAAGCTCCCTCCATGAAAAACACGACCAGAGCATAACACCAAGTTGGACGTGTCCGGATACTTTTGATCACATAGAGTATATATTTTTGTTACAGCGTCGCCGATTCGCGAGCCAACAACGTGGGAGTAGCGCCCTAAGGACTGACTGATTGCAGCGAACTAAGAATGTGGGTTGGATGAAAATCCACACATGTTGTAGAAACTCGTATATTGTTTTTATTTTTTCAGCGATCCCGACTCAGACGTCGACAGACAGTGCCCAGTGTTTTGGACTTCTAAGGCACCGACGGCTGTTGGTTACGAGGGCGGGGCAGAGGGCGTGCACTAATCGGTGATCCGTTTGGTCGGTGGTTTGTCGGTGCAACGTCGGTGGTTTGTTACACGGCTTACACCAGAGCGCGCATCCTCTTTTTTTGAAATGGTTTGTTGGTGGAGCCCTTACATGATGTGAGTCATTAAGCGTGTAAAAATAAACTTGAACAAGCGAATTCTGCGCATTGAGATTAATAAAAGGTTTCTGATGTTTCTGTTGAGAAATGCTTTATTACTATAAACCAGTTAATTGAAAAAAATCCGTTTCACAATACGTCCTGATACTTGACTTAACGGTGAGTTGGAACAGTACCAAAAATGATAATTTTCACTGGAGTCAAAAGCCACTTTGTTAGGAAAGAATAAAAAAACGCTAATTAGTGAAGTGATAAAAAGGATTTTTTATCACTTAGTGAAGTGATAAATTTTCTCGTGACCCTATTGAAATAATTCGAGAATTATGCATATCTCCACCCATACTTTTGGGTTCCCGGATTCAAACCTACAATTAAAAATTAAAACGGCTGATGTATATTATAAGCAAAGAAAATTCAGGAGTCGTGGATTTCAGCACCATTCGAAGTTTTGCTCTCTCTCGGAAAAGTTAAATAACATCCAATTTCTTTTAGCGATTTCAACAATCTTGAAAGCGAAACAATTTGTGCCGTTCACAATTATAGGAAAAAATATGCTTTCCATTCACAGAGATGGACTGGCCACTTATTGATTTCTGGCTTTGTTTTTCGATAAAATATGTTCCAATTAAATATCTTGCAGGTGACTCTCAGAAACACGTCATGACCCAGATGTCATTACACATCCTCTCAAACGCTTCTTGAAATAAAATGATAAAATAATAAATAATATAAGAACTGAATGTAAACCAATTGTGAATTAGATAAACATGTCAATCTATTACATTCTTCTCTTATTGGGGAAATTATTTTCTTATCCGGAAAGTGAACTAATATAATAACTCTGAACCACACGATTTCGACTTTCCCAAGTAAACCTCTACATTCTTTCTTGTGTAGTGATCTGAATACGAAACGTAAAATACCTGATGATGAATCGTGGATTGAGAATATTGATGCTTTCTCCTTCCCGCACAGGCAGCTCACGAACTTCACAAACTCCTAATTAGACGCCCCACACACAGCACATTTCTAACTAAAACAAAAGCGCGAAGTCTCTGTTGTTCATTAATTGCTGGGCGGAAATGCTCGTTAGATTAGATTTCCGGTGGGCGGTTCACCCGCGGTCGCGTTATGGCTTGAATGCTCGGCCCCAGTATTGAGGCAAAGCGAAAGCGATTAATTAACAAGGGTTAAGCTGTGGTTACAACTATTAAATTTGAAATATGTGTTAAATTATAACGTGAAATGAATATCAATCACTTTCAGTTTACTTAAGGCTAATTAATAAATACTAATACACTATTTATGGAGAATGATTGTCATTCTAAAGATTAAACTTGATGAGTTTTTATACTGACGTGAACTGAATACCAAGAAGTTTCAGTTTACATTAAGTTATGTGTAATGTTTTTGCGATGTGATCTAAAACTGTGTTATGGTACATTCCAATTAATTTGGTTGTTGATTATAGTTAATGTAGAATAGCAACGGCGATTTTTCGAATTTTGTAGTCGCAATACTATTTGGTTAGATAATAGTAAAATATTTGAATAATGAATTAATTAAAATATTTTTTATAAGTTGAGAACGTTTTATCCTTGATGTGTGATGATGATGTTTGACACATGAGACTTTTGACACCTAGTGTAGGAACATGTAGACGGAATTATTAAACTCACTTTTACTTTTTATGAGTTATGATGTGAAAGAGAAGAGGTCCTTACTAAAAACTATTTGGAACAGAGAAGCAACATTTTTTTACATATTTTCAACCATAACAAATTTTTAAGTACCAGTTTGACTGCAAAATGTTTGGAAAAAACAGGAAGAGGGGGACCTATAATGAAAATATTTGAAGAAATAAAAAAAGACTACACTTCACTAACTAAACAGAGGTGTTGTGGTCAGTGGGGAATAGAATGTAATGACAGCAGCAACAATCACTTCATCACTCTAAAGTCATTTTTTTGCTCTTAAGTTGATGATTATGAAAGAAGCAGATTCGCGCAGTCACAGCTCTATTTTCATTTTAAAACCAAATGTCTCTTCTAGAGCTGGCAGGAGAGGTTGGATACTGACATCCAATCCCGAGATTCGCTACGACTTAAATTTTTGGCATTGAAGCTCCCGATTGAATGAAAGTGTTCTCATCCCTTTTCAGTTCGTGTCCTTGAAGATACACTACTTTAATCAAAGTTTAGCGCGTCCCTTTCGTCGCTTGCTCGCAGTCATGTCTTCCGAACGAGAAATGTTTCCTCATCTGACGGCCTCTGTTCAAAGTTCTTGTTTAAGTCTAGCTAATAATTGTAATTAACTATTTAAGTTACAAAAATGAATATATAATTGTATGAAATATAAAACTATTGTATAGCGGCCTTTAAAATTACGATAAGGATTTTCTTAAGTTCTAATTTCTTTTTCAGTTTTTACTATTTTCCCCCCATGAATTCCATTATCGGGCCCCTTGATCTGTGGGGTTCCGGGCGATCACCCGGCCTACCCATACCTGGCACCGGAACTGCGTTTAAAGACTATACTTCGGTTTTTATAACGTGGCACGTCAGGGGCTGTCTTCACGTTGGATTATCACATGGCATTTCGCGTCGTTCTCTGTCGCGCCGCTAGATGTCACATGCTCTCGCAACCGTATTCAGTGCTGCTATACGGCCTCACGCGCCAAGAAATAAAAACCCAAATACTTGGTTTTTATTTCTTGGCGTGTGAAGGGGGCTGTCTTCACGATGGAATATCTTACGCATCTTTTAGCATTTCGCATCTTTTTCGGTTGTGCCGCTAGATGTTGCATGATCGCGACTGTTTAGCAGTGCTGGATCTACTAGCGGCCCGACCAAGAAAGACGCGAAACGCCGTGAGATATTCCATCGCGAAGACAGGCTCCGAAGCGCCATGCTGTGAAAGAGTCGAAGTGCAGAGAGTCGCTGTTCCGGTTGCGGGGAGCTGCGAACTCACCTCGACGCCGGCGGCCGGGCGGATCTCGATGTCGTCGTCGCTGGCGGCAGACGCGGCCGCCGCCGCCTCGGCGTCGTCGTAGGGCGCCACCTCGGGCCCTTCCTCCTCGCGGGGGCCCTCGTCGGGGGGCCCGGGCGCGGACTCCACCTCCGCCTCCGCCCCCGCCGCCGCCGGCAGCGGGCCCTCCGTCGCGCCCGCCAGCGCCGCTCCTGCAACACACGCAAGGCAGGCAACGTCACAAGCCATTTCCAATCAAAACAAAGGAAAAGGGAAAGGAATATAGAGTGTTTGTCAGCCTGGATAGCCGCAGAGGTCACTAAGGCTGGAGGACCGTAGCTGCCTCGGCTCGAAGGGTCGTGAGTTCGATTACCACCTCGAGCATGGATGTTTGTTGTCCCTACAGTAAAAAAAAAATCACACTTGGTCGTATGACCAAGTAGTTTGAATAGCCACCTTAAAAGTATTTTTAACGTACGTTTGGTATTATTACAACCAATCACTTCTATTATTACAATTATCGATTGACTGATTGGCTATAAGTGTTTCCGGGCAAGTCAACGGCCATGGTCATTACTGCAGAAGTTGTAGTGCATGTTTTTCTCAAGGAAAATGGGTCATTTCCCATTGGATGGTGAGATCCGGTACCCAAACTACTCGTAGGATTGCGAAGTTTTCCTTATCCAGGTAGTCACTGTAATTAAAATTACGTACAACATGAAGTATACATTAGGCGACAGAACGAGTTCGATTCCTTGTACGAAAACGTGTCAAGTGCAGTTGCAAAAACCTAACTAAATAACGGCCACTTCATTTTATTGCATTCAATACGTAGTCGCTGAATGAATTTTGTGATCTGATGAATGCATCTTTTATAAAACGTATTTCACAAGGAAGGAATAACCTGTTTATTATTTTTATAAATTAAGCAATTAAAAGCCGTAAGTGCGTTGAAAGGCTTGGAAAATTAGGGATTTTCCCCTAGAGACACTATTTTATTCCTGTAACTTAGTAATCCTAAAAATATATTCAAAATTCGAGAAGAATGATTTTCGAGATTTTTTAATCAGTATTGTCTTTTATTTGTATGTAAATCTGGTTGTTTATTCTACGTTAACATTTTCACGTTCATCACCTTTTTATTGCTTTATTCTAATTAATGAATATCAAAAACCGGGATTTGGTAATTATTAAATTGTCGTTTACTTTTATAAAACGATATCTAAATTTGTTATTAATATCGAAGATAAAGGATTTTGGACGAATAGAGATTCAAGGAATTCGAGGACTAAGGAGAATTCGGAATCCAAGAAAGCTAGGAAATATGTAAGGCCTATTTTAAATGGAATTTTTTAAAATATTGAATTACATGACGTTCATTATCCCTGTACTAGTGGCGCCAAATTTTTTCTTTTGGTCTTTTTATTTACGTTTCTATTTAACATTTTTTATAGCAATTCACTTCATCTTCAAGAGTTTTCAAATTTGAACTTCGTAGTCATAAATGTTGTGGATTATCATAATATACTCTATACAGGACATTTAATTTCCTGTCAAACAATTTTTTTACCAATCCATTTCCCTTGACAGGATTTCCGTATTCTACTAATCTAGTTCATTTCCTCACATTCTTGTTCTTAACGTAAGCGCAGGCATTGCAATTCCATGATTCCTGATTCCGAGTATAAAATATTTCATTATTTAATTCCTTATTAAACTTAAGATTTCATTATATTATTCTGGCGTTGGTTCGTTATTTTTATCACAACAGTCTAATAGACTGGTAAAGGAGTAAAACTATATTTGGAGTGTAAAACGGAAGTAACGACCTCGCCACACATCTGACTCCATCCGCTCCACCGCTCCCTGCTTCGCCATGTCACTTCGTTCCGCTCTCCTGGTCCTCCCTTCTCCGTTCCGCCCCGCCCACATGTTTCCCACGATCTCCCCGCTCTGCCCATTCCCGTTCCCGTCAATCCCCAGTCTTCCTCACCCAGCGTAGCAGCCCAACCCCGATCATGCCCCTGGGTAATTGGCTGCTCCGCAATACCTAAATACTTTTATGTGTTGCGGGTTCCGTTAGAGCAAATTTAACCCATTTTCGAAAATCGTAGTTGTGCTGAAATAAATTTAAAAAAATACAGTTTTACTTGTTAAGATTCGTCCCATGCAAAGAATTTTACCAATTGCCTTGTTCGTACCATAGAAGAGATGTTTCACTATAAACCTTATTAACCTTATTTAGCAAAATTTGTTCTCGCTCATTGTATTTAATCCATTAAACCCCATTGCTAAAGGATAATCTGATAATTTATGTGACATCCGCGAACTCGCAGAATTGGCGGAGTCTTCTAAGTTACAGCGGCTTTAAAACAATCAAGAATGGGCTCATGATCAGATTCGAAATATTGGAGTAGTAATGGAGTGAGTAAGTGAAGTAATGAATGAATGAATGAATAAATGAAGAAAGGAAGACGATCATACGCGGACTATACCACATTGTTTAAGGTAGTTCTAACGTCGTCTGAAATTGATCGGATTAAATATCAGAGACAACCAATAAGAGCTGTCGCACTCTAGAATGAGGCACTGATAAAGTTGCAATAAATTGGCGACGGAAATTCTCTTACGTTGGAACTCAAATATGCGACATTTCGACCTACGAAGCTTGAATTCAGAACTTGCAATTAGATACGAGAACGCACACGCATTCACTATATTACACGAGTGGTAAATATGGGTTGAGAATGAAGAGAATTTACAAGTTCGTTTTATTACACGGATGTGAATATTTTCTTGTCGATTCTTGTCCAAAGTGCTTGTTTCCATGTATATTCAGAATTATACTTCTATACGGGTTCGGGTAGAGATCTCAGAATTCAAAAGAACGTGCACAGAACTCTTTTCTTCCCAAAATACGTCACAGATTTTTATTTGATTTTGACGTTAAATAAATAAAACGAAATTCAAAGCGTATTGAACGCTGTTAACTGGCAAGTAGATATACCCGGACTGCATAACGTTGTTCCTCCACCAACGGCGTAATTTACCTTCCCCTAGCGCGGCCCGAACGGGGTTGCCTCGGCCGCGGAGCCCGAAGGTCTTCGACGTCTGTGGTTGAGCGAGGATGGGACGACCTCGGATGTCAATTAATCTGCCAATCAGCAGAGACAGAAGCCCTGACGCCGCGCCCCGAACCGTTGCCATGGGAAACGCCGCGCCGCTTGCCGACCCACATCGGCCCTGAACCGCAGCTCGCCCTACCTCACGGAAGTGGCTTCGCTGCCCTGCCGGGCAACCCACCCTCCAGCGCGTTGCTCAACCACCACGCCCGGTGCAAACACCAGTGCTCAGACCCGTCCCGGCCCAACTCGATCGCCCAGCCCCTTCCTCTTAATATTACTCTGTTATAACAGTGGCTCAGATGCCACCAAAGCCAAATCATGTCACTGCAGTGCCTCCGAACGGGAGGTCCGAGGTTCGAGTCCCACCGAAGTCAGAATTGTAGCCACTAGCTTGTCAGCTGGGTCGAATTCAGTCGCTGTCTGGAGGAGAATTCTAATGGCCGACTGTTCTGATCGTTGGTCTCCGTGTTTTCATTGATCGACACCATGTGAATGCCGGAGCGGTACTGTAACAAACTGGCCACATACCGCGCGCGATCTTTCCTTCCTCTTCCTTGCCCAATATTTTCCCCTTACATGACCTACACTACCACACATTTCGGGAGATTAGTCGTAGTTACGAGCTTGTCGGGGCGGTACCCCGCTGTTGGAAAATCCCCGCAAGTTGACGGGAAGGTGGGCGCCGGATCTCGCCATCTACTGGGGAGAGATTTCCGCCACATTCCGCGATAAAACATACACTACACTTATGGGACTAATGACCTTAGCAGTTGATTTGACTGGAAGTACTCCGCCAACCCTCCATTCTGCTCCGCGCTTTCCACCCTCACCTCGCTAACTGTCCCGCTCCTCCCTTGCCCTACTGATCCTATCCGTGTTGCGTCTCATCCCCTTCACCCCGAGGACAGCACTTCCATGACCCTCCTTGCACGTCGCTCCCCTGGCTCGCTTTCCCCCGTCAACGCTGCTCCGTCCGTCCCGCTGCACTTGTCATGGTCCGCCTGGTTCCACCCCTTTCAGCCAAACCAAAGCCTCCTTCACTCCGCTCTCCTCTCCTTCTCTCCGACCCCGCCTCCTCTCAGACCAGCCGCACTTCGAAGCGCTTCGTTGATTTATTGATAGTTACCCCGGACGCATCAACTGCCAAGTTCATTAGCACCGAAAGTACAGTGCACGTTTTATCGCTGACGTTGGCGGTGATCTTCCCCCGCTGGTTGGTGAGATCCGGCACCGACTTTTCCAGTCCGTTTGCGGGGTTTTCCCCAGCCAGGTATCCAGACTCCTATCAGCGGAGAACAGCCCCTGCCACGACGACCTCTAACCTCGCAACTGGTCTCCCGGCGTGTGTGGTAATTTAGTGCATGTAAGAGTGTTTATGTAGGGGAAAGATGGTGCGCGGGCCGTAGGCGGTTTGTTAGGGTAAAGATCCGGCATTCGCCTGGTGTAGATCAAAAACTAGTCTACCGATAGCCGGCCGCTAGAATTTTCCTAGAGACAGCGGCTGTATTCGACCTAGCTATTTAAAAGATAGTGTCGAAAATTCTGTCACCATCGGGAGTGGAAACCTAGGACCTTCCCCGACAGTGGCACTGCATTGTTATAAAGATATTTCCTGAACCACTTAACGCGGAGAGCCCCTCTGTCCATTCACCTTCGCTCCACTCAGCCCCCATTCTTTCGGTTCAGACCCGTTGCGACTTTCACCTCACCAAACTAACTTCTAAAAAGTCTCACTATTTTCTGGCCCTCCCCGTCTCGCGCAACGCTCACCCCACCAGCCTCACCCTTGTCTGTCCCGCTCCGCCCCACTCCGCTTCAGCCTACTCAACCCCTCTACAGCTCTGCCTCGACCAATCTTCTTACCCCTACTTCACGGTCCTCTCCCCCCCCCCCCACCACTCCTCTCTGTTTTCGTCTACCGCCCCCGCCCGGAATCTCTCGTGACCTACTGAAATACCCACTCACATCGTCTCGCCTTAACTCTCACTACAATCAGCACTTACCCCAGAAATTGTCAGATCACCTCCGATGGACGAATTTTCCTCAAAACTGATTTTTCGTTGTGCCCGTGAACTTTTGTATCATTCTCATGTCAAAGATATTTTCTGTTCACTTTCAATTAAATATAGAATTTTCAGTTCGTTAATGGTTAAACATTTCTCCATACGACTACAATATTTTCTTCCACTGAGCAGCAACTACAATAGTTAAGCCGTAGCACAAAATACAACAATAAAAATCCTTGGTAAAAAATAATTTGACCGAATTATTTATTGAATGCCGACAAACACAAATTATTTTTCAGTCGGTCTCTTCACTGCATGAATATTCTCTCACTCGATCGCAATGCCACGACCTTGAAACGTGATCCCTGTTACGCAATCACATTTTATTCGTCGGCACGCTTGCAGGCGGCTTAGCATAAAATGGCGGCTTAGCATAAAATGGCGCGGCACGCCCCGGCCTCCCGCGCGCCGCCGCGGCCGCTCGCTCGCCCGCGCAGGTGCTGCGGCTCCCGGGAGCCGAGGCACGAGCCCCGCGAGTGACCTTCTTCCTCGGCAGAGTGATGCTGAGTGACAGCGGAGAGGAGGGGAAAAGTCTCTCGGAGAGAGCGAAAGGGGGAGGGGGCAGAGGAAAGGACGATGGAGGTTGGAAAAAAAAGAGTGGCGTGGGGGAAGGGTCTGGCGCTTCGTGCGGGGAAACGGAAGGACGGTAAGGGCAAATGGCGCCCTCCCAGCCGAAACATATTAACGGATGGTCACTTTGAAAGAAGTCACAGTTCGATGAGTCGCGTCTCCTTGTGTCTTGCGTGACAAGCTCTAGAAGAATCGCGTAACAAATTATCGTCAGGGAATTTGCTTTGCAATACATTTGTATTTCGGTCAGTGACAAAGTAATGAAATTCTGTGAAATTCACACGTCTCGGGTTCAGAAGGATACTGCAGAGATTGTGAGACAGAAGTTACTCAGTCTTGCTTAAGGCCCTTTACTACAGGTCAACGAGTTGGTGTTGAATTCACTCAAATTAGTAAATTGTGTTCCGCCCCAAAACACTGACGAGATTTGAAATCTGGCACATGATTGGCCTTTTGTACAGGAGCTAGGCTAACATTAACTATTTGCAACGAATAATAACTGATTACTAATTAAATGTAAAATAACTACCACTCAAATTATTAATTACTTATTATTTGATTTATCACAACTAGGATCACGCCAAGCAATCCGTTATAGGTTAGGTACTGTGCAGAGGTAATCATTCTAATAGCGCTAATCGTTTAACAAATAGAATGACTGGAGATTTGTGCGATTAAATTGCGCAGAATATC